CTCCCTGTGCTCCCACGTGTTTCACAAACCCTTCACTCTTCTCCTGCAGGAATGGGCCATCACTCTGGGAGGTTCGTGCATCATTTTTGATGCATTTTAACATGATTATCCCCAGAAGGCCCACCGGCTTTGTATCTCAGGAAATGGGATGCCAGAGGCCACGGGAAGGATGGTTTGGGCACTGTTGTGGGATGTGGGAAACTGAAGCATGCTCCCACCTCCCCAACACCCTGCCCTCCTCAGTGAGGGGTATGAGAAACTGCCAGCGAGGTCTGAACTCACGATCGTGATGAGTATCTTATGCCTAACTGCAGGCAGTGTTGTCCTGCCAGCTCAGGATTTAAGCTTCCAGCCCAGGAGGTATTTAAAAGCCATGTGGATGTGGCACTTCAGGGTATGGTCTAGTGGTGGACTTGGCAGTGCTATGGTTGGACTTGATGATCTTAAGGGTCTTTTTCCAACATAAATGATTCTATGATTTTATGATTTGAGTCAAAACCATTTGAATTCACACTACCTCCAGCTTCTCTCTGAGGCTGGCTGTTGTGTAGCACAACTGTCCTGGCTCCCCAGGCAGGTTGGGTGATGGTTTGATGCCTGCGTTGGAAGTTTTCCCCTTCCAGGGGCAAAAGACCTTTGATGAGAGAAGGTTGCAGAGATTTGGGTTGCAGAGGTTTGAAGCAGTCCTTTCAAAACCTGAGCAGGCTGAGCTTGGGAGCCAAGGGAAAATAGAGAAGCTTCAACGATGTTTTTGAATGAGTGGTACCATCATTAATAACAGCAACAGGGAGCTCCCTATTCTCGGTGATGATGATGATGATGAGGATGAACTAAAGCTCTTTAATTTCATTCCCAACAGTCATTTTTACTTCTCAAAACAGCTACTACATCTCAGGAGTTAGCCTCTTGCATGAAGTTCTTAATGCTTTTTCTCTCACTTCTACCTTTTGTATCATTCCAGGAGTACACCGTTCAGGCAGAATTGCCCCCAAATCATCCCTCTTCATAACTTTTCTCCCTTTTTTCTGGTATGACAGGGAGATGGAATAGAGGAGTTCTTTCTTTTTCCACCAAAGGTGGCCAAGGAACAGATCCCAGCTTAGTGCTAAGGCACAAAGGCAGCCAGAAGCTTTATGTGCTGTACACAGACACAACACCGTTACCTGCCTTTCCAGTCTCTGAAGCCCTAACTGTGTCAAACGAAACTACATTCCCTGGAAACTACATTTTCCTGGGAAACAGCATCCAGTGCTTGACTCTCCCCATGACTGAGAAGTTACTCCCTTTATTGAGCATCTATCCAAGCCCAACCGTCCACCTTGGTTTTTACCCATCTACTTATACACCGATGCAGGCCATAAAACCCTATCCTGGACACAAGAATATTGTGGGGGATGATGCTGAAAGCCTTGATGACTTCCAGGTAAAAGACCATCTCTGCTCTCCCTGTGTCCAGCAATCCTGTCCTGTCATCACAAAAGCAAAAATGGATGGCCAGGAACAAGCTCCCCTAGGTAAATCCAGTCTCCTTCTCATTCAGACACCCAGAAATGGGATTCAAATGGACATGCTGTGGTGCACAGCGTTTAGTTCCCCTGCTCATTCATTGGCTATTTTTGAAAAGCTCATGCAAGGTGTGAGTGCTGCCAGTTGTCAGGGAGTTCCCCCAGTCTCCATGACCTTTCAAAGATGATGGAGAGTGGCTTCACCGTGACATTGGCCTGCTCACTCAGCTCCCTGCGATGCTGCCCCTCCTGTCCCATACACTGGGAAGGATGGAGTTTGCTCAAGTCATCCCTGACCTGATCCCCATCCACTGCTGGTTGATCTCCTCCAGGGTCCTGCCCTGAGTCACAGAGGCCTGGGAGACCTTGCTGGGGCAGACTGAGGCAAAGAGGACACACAGAATCTCACATCTATCTACACCTGCTCTTCTTAAATTCAGCAGTGGCCACACAGGATCTTTGTTTCCCCTTTAACTGTTCCTGAAGCAGCAAACCCTCCTTATGGTGCCCTTCAATTGCCTTTCAAGTTTAGGCTGAGTTTCCATCTGGACCCTTGCAGACCTTGGAGGATGCTGTCCTTGAAGAGCAGCTGTCCTGAGCTCTGCCACCATGTCACAGCTCTGTCTGCTCAGGAACAGCTCCAGCTCCTCCTGCCTGTGCCCCTGGCTGAGGGCACTGCTGCACATTTGGGCTGAGGCAACAAAGCTGTGCAACCAGGCAAGCTCTGACTTGCCATAAGGAATCCTGGTACCAAGAGTCCAAGACGCCGTGTGTGCAAAGGCTTTTCTTCATAACAGAGACATGGCATGGACAAAAGAGAGCTGCGTGTCTTTCTAGCCCCAGGTCTAAAGACCCAGCATGAAATGCCTATTTAATTGAACTGAAGATAAGTCCCCAGCTTGGAGAAATTAGATCTTTCCTTGTCACCTTCCTGGGTGTCCTGCCTAATGATGGGACAAAAAAGGGGATTCTCATGCCCAAGTCTTTTCCTGATAGGAGAAATGACAGTGCTAGGAATACTTGTCTCCCCTCAGCTGAGGGAGGGAACATCAGTGATGCCTTCAGCCTGTTTCCCAGCAGGTTCCCCTGCAGCCCCAGGGACACCTGGAGGGAGCCCAGAGGGGCAGAGAAAGTGGTGCCTTGGGCTGGGCCTCTGCTGCTGAGCTGGGCTGGGGTGCTGGCATGGAGGGAGCTGCTGGCAAGTGGGCAGCACTGCAGAGAGACAGCTCTGCCCAGGAGCAGCTCCTCTGCAAAGGGCAGCAGGGCTGAGGGCACTGCCTGCAAGTGCTGAGAGGGTGGTGCCTTGGGCTGGGCCTCTGCTGCTGAGCTGGGCTGGGCTCCTGGCATGGAGGGAGCTGCTGGCAAGTGGGCAGCGCTGCAGAGCAAAGGGCAGCAGGGCTGAGAGCACTGCCTGCAAGGTCTGGGAGGAGACGAGTGAGGCAGAGAGACTGTAAGGCAGTGTGGAGTGGGAGGGTGCTGAGATATCACCGGAGGAGTCATCTTCACAGCTCTTGACACAGTAAGTCTCTGGGTGCAGGACAATGTACCTGGGGTTCCTGGAGGGAGATGGGAAGGAGGAGGACGTGCAGCAAAGCAGGGCTTCCCTGCTTCACCATCAGAAGGAAAGGGCATGACAGCTGCCTTCTCCCAAGGACTGCCCCAGGGCATGAAGGCGGGTGTGCAGTTAGGGGTGCCCAGGGCAGGGTCAGAGCAGGGTCCCTGCACACGAGAGGACTGTGCACCAGGGCAGGGACTCCGCTGCCTGCCAGGGTCAGCACTCAGCCTGCCCGGGGAGCTCTCCACGACACTGTGGAGGGAAGCTGTGGGTGGAAGCATCGACCCCTGGCAGGGCAGGATCCTTCTGCTGTCCAGAGGGTGCAGAGTGGGTCAGGGCTGCTCCCAGTTCTCCGTGACTCAGAGGACATTTGCAGAGGGTCATTTTGAAGAGGGATGTCAAGGCAGGGGATTACAGGAAATGGAAGGAGTTTGTTCTTTCTCCTCTTGGTTGGCTGGGTGGGCAGTGGGAGATGGGAATTTATTTCTCTGCTCTGGAGTAGGCAATGAGACCCCAGTTCTCACTAGGACTTGTCTGAGCTGCTCCTTAGCCCCCGCACACCCAGAGATGCCCCTGGGCAGTGCCCTGCTGCCAGGAGGTGCCTGCAGGGCAGAGCTGAGCACACAGCAGGTGGGATGGGCTCTGTAAGCATGGAGAGGGAGGAGATGTGGGGACAGAGAAAGAGGTCCTGGCCAAGAAGAGGTCCAGGCAGCAGAGCCATGGGCAGGAAGGAAGAGAGAACTGCTGCCAGCAATGCTGTGGGAGGAGGGATTCAGGCATCTCCGTGCCATCCCCTGCAGTGCAGGTGCTTTCCCTGGAGCAACCCCCTGGTCTCCTCACTCACACAGCAGAGCCTCTGCCCTTAATGGCATGTGGACATGCTCATGATTTACCTTCCCAAGCACCCGGAACACCAAAGCGAGTTGAAACTCATGGGT